CATAATATCATATTTTCTCTTTTTTTCTTAATTCTTCCCCATCCTTATAAATGGTTTATCTGTTATGATGGCTAAATAATAATATTAAAAATAATAATAATAATAAGAAAGCTTACGATTCTGTCCCTCATTCCTGGCTATGTAAAATTCTGGAATTATACAAAATTGATACTAAAATCTGCACTTTTCTCAAATGTTCCATGGAATTTTGGAAGACCACCGTCCAAATAACCTTAAATGAACAAACAATTCAGTCAGATCCAATAGTGATCCAAAGAGGAATTTTTCAAGGCGATTCTCTTAGCCCGTTATGGTTCTGCTTAGCAATAAATCCCCTCTCCGATATCCTGAACAGCTGCAATTATGGGTTCAATATAAGAATTAACAAACAAAGAGAAAACAGAATAAGTCACTTGCTGTATATGGATGACATAAAAATATATGCAAGTACACAAAATCAGTTAACAAACCTATTAAATCTGACTGAACAGTTTTCCGGTGATATTGGTATGTGTTTTGGTATTGAGAAATGTAAGACCCAAGCAATCAGAAAAGGCGTCCAACACCAAGTACCACATATAACCCAGAATAGCGAAATAATCGAAGCCCAAGAACAAAATGATACATACAAATATCTGGGTTTCTGTCAATCCTCCGACATCAATCAAACCAAAACGAAAACACAGTTGAAAGATCAATACCTAGCGAGATTAAAATTAATATCGAAGACACAGTTAAATGGAAAAAATTTAATGAAAGCAGTAAAAATACATTCTGCGTTCCACTGCTAACATATTCTTTTGGAGTCATTAAATGGTCCAAAACTGATCTTGAAAATTTAAACATCGCAACAAGGAAAATCTTCACACAGTATAGAAGGCATCATCCAAAATCGTCGATTGAAAGATTCTCATTACCAAGACAGAATGGAGGAAGGGGTTTCCAGAACCAAGAAAACTTATATCAGAGACAAATCACAGATCTGAAGAAGTATTTCTTGAAACGAGCAGAAAGAAATGAAATGTTTCGCACCATCACAAGAGCAGATTTGAACCACACACCCTTAAATCTGTCGAACACCGAAGAAATCCACACCCCCCACACAATAGACAAAATAATAAGTGGGCTAAAACAAAAACAACTATATGGAAAATTTTACAAAGACTTAGGAGAAACTCATGTCAACAAGAAGATATCATTGATTTGGTTAAAAAAATCAAGTTTGTATGCCGAAACAGAAGGATTTGTGTTTGCTATTCAAGACCAAGTAATCAATACCAAGAATTACAGAAAATACATCATCAAAGATCCGAATATAAGAAACCACTGCTGTCGCCTCTGCAAAGCAAAACCTGAAACGATCCAACACATAATCTCATCCTGCAGCATCCTGGCACAAACTGACTACAAAGCTAGACACGACAACGCAGCCAAAATCATTCACAAAGAATTAGCAACTCTTATGAACTTAATCGAAGATACGACACCTTATTACACTTACATTCCATCTCCGTTCTTTGAAAATAACAAATACAAATTATACTGGGATCGCACAATACTTACAGACTTAAACATTACAGCTAACAGACCAGACATCATACTTATCAAAAAACACACGAACGAAGCTATTCTCATTGACATTGCTATTCCTAACACAAACAACATTATTCAAACATACCACACGAAGATTTCAAAATATCTACAATTATCGATAGAAATGAAATCCATGTTGAATCTTAAAAAAATTTCAATTCTACCCTTAGTTATCTCTAATGTAGGTGTAGTCCCAAATAACTTAGTTGAGAATTTAAAGTCTTTGCATTTGAATGATTCAATAATTGTCAAAATTCAAAAAGCTGTTTTATTAGGAACATGTCATATTGTTCGTAAGTTTCTCGAACAGTCTGATCATGTCAGTCAGATTAGATTAGCACCAGTATAGGTCAGAGTAGTGTAAGTCACTTTCCAAGTGATTCGCGGATAAATGTTTTGTAGTTACGCTAGACTTTTGGGGATGGGGTGAGATTAGAGAATAATAGCAGACTAATTTGTATGCTGTAATTCTAGAATCTCAAAAGTTGTTTTGTTAATCTAATCAATGCATATCATTACTTGGTCTTAATACCCGTAATGATAGAAGTCTTGCCTGAATGCCGGTCATTTCCGGGTCAGTGGTGGGTCTTAATAATAATAATAATAATAATAATAAACCTTCAGGTTTTATCGTAGTTAATGATCGTAAGGATGACATGGACATGGCGTTCTGTCTTATTTTGGCATACAGGGTGATTTTTTTAACCTGAAACTTTAAAATATCTCGAAAAATATCCATTCTAAATACGAAAAAATATTTAGAATCGAAATTTCATCATTCCATGGGGGAAATATATTGGGGATAAGATTAGTCTCCCTAATCTTATCCCCAATCTTCGTTCTACGAACCTATGCATACGCTTGTGAATTACATTTGCAAAAGAAATAGCACGTTTTATGTAAATATTTACTTGAAATTCGTCGTCAAAAAAGTGTAATCATTTTGCAAATTTTGAATAATGGGGCAATTGTTACCTGTAGAAATGTGAATGCCTGTTTTATACGTTTATTTTGTTTTATTTCTTATTGTATTGTTTTTGAAATTACAAAAAAAAAAAAAACAAAAGAAAAGAAATAACACAAACATTTAATGTAAACAACACTTGTGCGTGAGTTGCGATAATAGTATGTAAATAGTTTCTTGACATGTCATTTTTCAGTAAATTGGAAAAATAAATTTTGTTTTAAGACTAATTTTAATTTTTTACAATGAAAACGCAGTATTTTTATTGCAAACGGATTTCAGATTCATATCCAGAGGTTTTCAGTAGGGAAAATCTACATAACTGAATTTCGTCTATTACAGCGTCATCTATCATGAATCGAAAAAAATGTTTCAAGCAAATTGTACATTCTTTTAGTCGTAGAATTCGAATCTGCACTAAAAAGTAGGGGTACCTGTTTAAGATTTCAAAGTTACCCCCCGCCCCACTTCCAAGGAGTATGACAGGGGGGCTAATTTTATCACCAATAAATTTCCCTCACGGAATGATGAAATTTTTATTCTAAATATTTTTTCGTAGAGTGCATATTTTTCGAGATGTTTAAAGTTCCAGGATATAAAAATCACCTGTATATTAATGAAATGAATTAAACTACGCTGTTATCATGAACTTTCACGCGTTCATGATAATGGGTGGTTGACTACAGTATTGAAATGATCTAATTTTTAAATCAGGACACCACAGGTGCCACAGTATTACAGCATACAGGGTGACTCTGAAAGCTTGGCGGAAAAAAATCCATGAAAGCTTATTGCAAGTGAAGGAAGGTTCCATTTTTTAAACTGGTGCCTCAGTCATTTTGATTTTTAAATGCATTAATAAGACTAGCATTTGTGTGTTCAATCCAATGTAAATAGTTCTAGTAGTGGGTTCCAAAACTGGGAATACATGAATAAGTGAATAACTATTAGGGTCAAAAAAATGTTGAATATTTCATGTTTCTACATGTTGTTCGTAATAAATGAATTATTCTCTGCTTTAAAATCGCGCGTAAAAATGTAAACTTTAAATTATCCAATAGCGCGACTGAACGGAATCAACTAGAATTTTCATTGGTAGAGCGTAGATTTCGAGTCGTTTGTTGGATCGCAAGTCGTAACACTCGTAACCAATTGCAGTGGATTTAGTAGTCGACACATGTGTGCATTTAAAATTGAGAGTTGTTATTTTTTTATATCAGACGGCAATAAAAGAGTATTATAAAGTCATTTCGTTCCATGAGATGATGTCGATTCATATAAAAATTTAAAAAAGCGGGCACGTCCCGATTTTCCGTTTCCGCACTGACCCTAATTTTTATCGACGAGTGTATTCGGCCTACCGACAATCTTGCACGTGCGCTGTAACCTGATTACGTCACAGGTTAACCGACGCCATTTGTTTTCAATCTCTCACGTAAAGGCGTTTCTTTGCATTTAATTTTGTAAATAGTTGTAATTTAAGGTAGGGACTTATAAAATTGGGTGGCAAAAGAGTAAAGTGTGACATTTTCTGTCATTTACAGCATTTAATTGGTGTCAGTCATGGGAGTCCAGGTCGAAACACTCTCACCCGGCGATGGTAAGTTTATCAAACAGCTTATTGACAACAAATCGCTAATAAATCATAATTTAATGAACCTATTATCGACCACTAATCGCCCCATTCAATCACTCAATTTGATTCAATTAACGCCTCCGTTCGAGACTTAATTAATATCAAATAGCGGCTATGCGGTAATCCCAATGACCTTGAAGTAATGAATATTTTTTATCAATTTGCAGGTCAGACCTTTCCCAAAACAGGTCAAACCGTCGTCGTTCATTATACGGGTACTCTACAAAATGGAACGAAGTTTGACTCGTCTCGAGACAGAGGCGTGCCCTTTAAATTCCGCATCGGAAAGGGGGAAGTTATTAAAGGCTGGGATGAAGGCGTAGCACAAGTAAGTTGACAGATGGGTTGGATATCAATTGTCATTATGATGTTAACAATCCTTGCGCTCTGATGCTTGATGTTACTAATTTCAAACTGATTTCTGGTTGAAATTGCTAGTATAATGAACACAATGATAATATGTAATGTATTGATTTGTTTTTAGTTAAGTGTTGGCCAAAGGGCGAAGTTGACGTGTTCTCCAGACTACGCCTATGGGTCACGTGGTCATCCCGGAATCATCCCGCCAAATTCTACATTAATCTTTGATGTAGAACTCCTAAAGGTTGAATAAAAATCTCATTGCAATGCAGTCAGATAGTCAAAATTCAGAAGTAAAAGTTAAAGTTACAATTTTTTTTTCTACTTAATAACGTCTTGAGTATCAGTTAGATTAACATCTCACTTCATGCTACAACATAGGAGCTGCTTGCTAAATTTCTTTTTTGAAATGTATGTGTTGTGGTGTCCCAATAAAAAAAGTTCATGTCAGGATACAATGTCTTATTCCTTAGAATATATAGCTTTATTTAGAATTCAATAAATAAGTTCAGAAACATCATGTTAGAACCTCTATAAAAATACATAACACATTTTGATAAACTTTCCAGTTAACAATAACCAACACTAACCAGTTTACACGAATATTGCTAAATACAACTGCTAAGCGGGGGATTTTAATAGAAGAATAATTCGGGGAAATTTTGTTCGTACGCAGGCTTTTCCATTTTCTTCTCGATTTCTGGCGGATTGCGGCGTTCGTTCGCGCTCAGCGACTTGAAAATTTCGTTCAGCTTATTCTGCAAAACATCATGCTGAAAAATCGAAGTTTTAAATCAGGCTTTGTTAAATAATTTCATTTTACTTTTGGCTGCGTCCTTCTGACGAGTTCAGAAAATGTTGCGGTACGGAATGTGTCGCTCAATTGTTTGCGTCGGCGTGCTTCCGCCTCCTTCCGCGTTTCTGCCGGTTCCGTCAATACTTTTTTCATGCTCTCAAAGGTCAACTCTTCCTCAGGTAATTTCTGGAAAACGAAAATAATTCATTATACTAAAAAATTTAAACAATTTAAAACGCGTTGTAGTCCGTTACTTATTTAAAATTGAAATTTGATTAAAAAATCCGGGTGGGAAATTTGAAGAATACTATGTCATAGTCATCCCAAGTAGTAATGAATGGACGTGGAAAAGAAAAGTGATAGGTATTTTAAAATATGTCAAAATTTAGTAAGTCTGTTAAAATTTCAAAAAAATGTGGCCGCAAATGCTAAAAGATAAAAAGAAATTACTTACTAAAACAAAACTTAGAAATTCATCCGCTCAAAAGAATATAGCAATCGCGGAATAATAATGAAAATTCCCGGTTTTAACTAGTTAGAATAATTCAAATCTGACACGAATATTTTTTGTCGCACATATATACTCACATTCCCAAAATAAGGAACTGTTTCTCAACTTTCTTTTTTCCACAATAGCTTTGTTAAATCTCAATGCTGATTAAAATTATCTATGATCAATGTAATTTTTTTCCTTAAAAGTCGAAATATGCAATAGTACTGGTTCTGCTTAAGATTAAGTGAAGTGCTAGTGAATTGACATTTGCTTTAGTACATAAACATTTAATTGCTCAAAATTTTGTATTTTTATTATTGCAGCTAGTTTTTTTACCTCTTATCGATGACGCGATAACATTTAAAAATATAATGGCAAAGGTAGATTTATTCATTTTATAATTTTATTTTTACTTTCCTGCTATAAGAAGACATATATCTAAACGTAAGTTTGTGTTACCATTAGGCTATCATAGATAATGAAAATAATTAGTTTAGTACACCTATTTAAATTGTTCTTGTACACAACACTTTAAGCTATAAATAAAAGGTAAACAATTGCCATTGTTCGTACTTGTTTGAAGCGTAAATAACACAACTACCTTTGAGGAAGTTCCAGAACAGAACAGTGCAAGTGATGCTTTTGTAGCTAATGAACAACTATTTCTACTACAATGCTTGTTTGGCAAAACTTAATATCGTTCGACAATATCGATTGGGTCTTTGCTAAATAACTTAATTTTAGGCGATTGACATTTACGAGAAATCCGAAAGCTCTTATTATAGAACATGCGGAACTTAATTATTTCATTATGTTGCCATTATGTTCGAGCTAGTTTATTTAGACATCAATCTGTCATTATTAAAAGAACAAATTAGTGGAGTGTAGTAGTAAAAGTTTCTTTTGTCGTTTTCAAGAACTTACCATTGCAGTTAGAGGTTTCTTGTTGTAGGTAGTTTTAAAAATCTTAAATAATGTAATCAGTTTCACTTTAGCTTTTACCCGATTTGACACCGTTCTTTAAAATAACTTCAACTTATAACTGCAATATTTTGTAGTTATTTAGTAGTGTCGGGTTAGTTGTTTATGTAAACGTATCCACAAACGCAATGGTTCTTATACGAAAGAAGCTGATATTATAACGATTATTGTATTTCTACTTTGTTTACATTTACCATTGACTTTCCTAAAATATTAGTTGGTAAAAATAACTACTTACCCGGTTTAATACATATTCAATGAAATATAACACGTTAGTTTATTGGAACATTTTTCGTGGTTGGTAAGGTCAAACGTCTAGCTAAGATCAAAATCAAACCTGCTATTAGTTGACCCTTCACTGCCAATAATTGATTGACAAGATTAGTACAATCAGAAAAACAATAAGATTGTATTACAGATATTTGTCTACGTTTTGTTCAAGTAACAGTCATTTTCGTTATATTGATGGTAATTTTAAATAGGTATCAATTTTATGTTAAACATGTTCTAATGATCCAAATTCGGTCTTTGAAGCCGATTAGCGTTAGTTGCAAGGCAGTTCTGTATAGAAAACGAATAAACCCTTTTTTAAAAATAAAATAATTCGTTACACTGATAAAAGTATTGTGATGATTTCTTTTTACTTTCCTAGCGTAGACGAAGGAAATATTGCAATCTGTATTTGTTCGAGCGTATTTCAAGCAACTCAGATTTCAAAACTAACTTCAAGCTGTTACAGTATAAATTTCAAGGCGGAAGATTATGAACTGGTGAATTATTAAAAAAAAAGTTTACACAATCTGATAATGGTCATTTAAAGTATCGATCTAAAATTATTTTCATGTAACACTATTTTTACAATTTTATTCAAAGAGGATAAACATGATATCAGATACAGGTTGTTTAAAAATCCTCGATTCTACCATGTTTAAATATGGAGGTCTGGCATTTCACACTAATTTTTTAGTTATCTTGCCAGATAAACGCACCAAAAACTAAAGAGTTTTTTTACCACTTATCCACAGGGTGACTAAATTTGACAACTGTCAATTGTATAATTTTTTTTTCATATGGAACCTGCTTATTTAGATTGAGTTTTTTTTGCACTATTTGTTTAAATTTATTATAATAATTAACAATTTACAAATTTAATCGCTTTTAAACAAACAACTTGTTTGTATTTTTATACGTGTTTTAAGATAAGGTGACTAAACAGGTTTGTGTACAATTTTAAACCTATCATTATGTTCTTTCACAGAAATGTAAATATTTTGGAAAATACTAATCGAGTTCATTGGGCGACTGGCTACTTTTATATTTTCTCGACGTGTCATGATTGTGTATGTGTGTCTGTCTGCCGTCTGTCCAGATTTTTATTAGACACAATCTTCGAAACCACCGCACCGACTGTTGTCAAATTTTATATGTATGTTAAGAATATCCTGTAGATGGTAAAACGCTAATCAAAATTTGTCTAATCATCCCTATCACCAATGCAATATGACATACCCTCAAAATTTTTCACAATAAGTAGGACCTACATTTTATAAAATAACATACTTATGTACTTGTTTTTTATGAATTTGTTTTCAGATTTTTCCCGAAGCATTCAAATTTTCGCAAAAAACCGAAATTGTATTGCAATCTTTTCTACGAGTAAAGTTACTATGGCGTAGCGTGTGTCAAGCTTGGTTTCAAACATTTGGATTTTTTGTTTCTTATACTATTCCTGCTATTATCTACATTTTTTGGAAGAAAAACCAAGTGTGTTTAATTAATTAATTAATACACGGGATTAGTCACTGAGCGTGCGGAGCTCGATATCTCATTAATTAATAATAATTATTAATAGAAAAAAAGTCAAATATCAAGGTTGTGGGTTTTTTGAGGACTATACTCTGTTCTGTTTTGTTGTTAATTGGTGCGTAATACACAATTTAGTTTTTTTTTTAAATGAAACACCGTGTATATTTTATTTTTACATATTCTCCTTAGTCTTTATATTTTTTAAATTCGGTTGCAACGTTGCACCTTATTCCAATTTTCTTGAAATTTTTTGGCAATAGCAGGGTTCGTAAAAAAATCTCAATAGGGTTATTTTCAAAATCTGTTACAATATTTTGTGAAAGGGTAAATAAAGGTACGCTTTTTGCTTCCCGAGCGTAAGCAACGGAAATATTGTAATCGAGCCCGTCGGCGACGAAGATAGGTCTCCGGTTTCCGTCTGTCTGTCCGTCTGTCTGCTGCCCGGATTTTTATTAGACAGATAATCTCCGAAAGTCTTGGACTGATTGTGAATGTCTGTGTACTGTACAGTACTGTGTCTGTGAGTAGAATGAATGTAGTTTATGACTCCGAATTGAGTTTTTTCCTGAAACGTCCAGATTTTGGAGAAAAAAATCAAAATTTTGAAACATTTTGCAATTTCATTCCGAATCTGCAAAACCGAATGCTTTGAAATCTTGCAGATGGTTTACAGTTATGATAAGCATGGTAAATTTTTACTCAAAATGTATTTGCTCATCCCCCCCTAAAAAATTGATGACGTCACGTCAAAATTTTGCTGAATAAATCCTATCTTAAATGTGCAAAATATGATGAGTCTGTAGTCGTGATTTATCTATCATTCCATTCATATTTTTTGGATTTGCATATACAGGGTGACTCAAAAAAATTTATGAATGCGTAAATTTATTTTATTGCTTTAATCAAGAATTGCAAAACTGAATACTTTGAAATCTTGCAGACGTTTTAAGGTCATTGTAAGCATGGTAAATTGTTGATCAAAATAAATCTGTTTATTTTCCCCAAAAAATTTATGATGTTATCTCAAAATTTTGTCGAATAAATCCTATCCAAAATGTGCAAAATATGATGAGTTTTTACTTGTAATTCATCATAGAATTCATATTTTTTATTGATTAAATTAAGAACGAATGACCTCATTTTCCCAAAAATGTTAAAATACAAACATCTTTATTTAATAAGAATTATAATAATGATGTTCAGAACATTTTGCGATTGTAGCTTACTAGTTAATTGTTTTGATACTCTATTTCGAGGAGACGAACTCATTCAAATCAAACTAATTTTTTTTTTTTTCAATAAGCCATCATAGCAATCACAAAAAAATGAGAAAGATGTCAATGCCAAATAATAACAAAATTGAAAAACTTAATCTCAATTTATTTTAAAATGCCCCGCTAGAAAATGTAATACGAAAAAAGACATAATAGGCATGCAGTCGTCACGATTCCGACAGCGAGGGAAGTAAGTCTAAACTCTTTAGACGAATTTTTGTTGTGTTATCTTCCTCTATTTTCTGTTCTCATTCTTCATATCTCATTTAAAAAAGGTAAAACGTCGCATTAAAAAAAAAAATAAAATAAAATAAAATGGCAGTAATAAAATACAGGATGTTCTATTTGAAAAAAACTGAAATATCAATAGTTGAAAATTGTAATCATTATTTTTTTCTAAACACTGTGTATAAAGATTCAATTTTATTTATATCACAACAAAATATTTTAACAGATTTTGAAAATAACCCTATTGCGATTTTTTTGTCAACCCTTCCATTGCGAAAAAATTTCAAGAAAATTGGAAAAACGTCGCACGGAAATTTCAAAAATAAAATGAGGTTATAAACAATTAATCAAAGTCAATTAATAAGATATCTAGGAACGCGCCTTTAGTGACTCACCCTCTACATATATGGGCTGGTTCTTAATATGTGGTAAAAACTTGGAAAATAACAAAAAAGTTCATATTAACATATGTCCAAAAATATATATTTTTAATGCCACGGGGTGTGTAATAATAAGACTTCGGCTTAGCGGAAGTGATGTTCATTGCCGTCCGATCGCCAGCGTTATTGCAGTCGTGGTGTACAACTTTGCGAATTCTTAATAACAATTACTACTTTTTCTAGGTTTTCTTCAGTTATACGAGTTCTCCTAGATGTTCAAATGCTTTAAAAATGAAAAATGACTGTTCAACATCACAATTTTTGTGATGATCTTGATCAGATAAATCCTGAATTGAATTTATCGCCTGACGTGGCGCCGTCGTATTTAATATTTGTCTGATTAATTCCCCATCACTTCGGCTGTGCTTAACTCTGGCAATAATAATAAATGAAGAATTTTTACAGAAGTAACAATTTAGAAAAACAAGCTTCTAATAGCTGTTGAAAATGGCAGTGGTTACTGTAATTCAATTCGTTTTCAAGTAATGAGTAATTGTAACGAATTATTGCTTTTTTGAGTAATTCAGTCACTTTTGCAATTACTAATTTTAACCCAATACTCAAAAATATTGTTTTGTTTTTCTCTACGAAGCGTTTACCTGACCTGCTGGAATTATTATATCTGGTTCGTCCCCACAAAGACAAGATTAACCCAGTAGGGAGTTAAAATCTAAAACGAGTTTAGAACAGAATTTGTTAAGAAACCAGGTAACCAAGATAAGACTGATTTTGCCAAATGATATACCTTCTACCCTTCATTTTCTTAGAGAGTAGGTCATTTGCCAAAATTAGTCTTATCTTAGTAGGTACTAACCCCGCCCACCCACCCTCTCTTTTCTTAGAGGCTATGTCATTTGCTAAAATCAGTTTTATCTTACCAAGTACTAGCCCCACCCACCGGCCCCTATCTCAGAGGTTATGTCATTTGCTAAAATAAAAAAATACTATAATTAAAAAACTGATAATATCCTGAAATTTGTTTTTAGGCCACACAAGTGGCTTGACTTTTTAATGACATTATGAGACAATTTTGACATTATTAAGAAAAAAAAAAGTTCTTGTAGTCTGAAATTTCAGGAAGTCAGGGATATTTAACAAGGTTCAAGCAACTTTGTATGTTTCGTTTATACTTGAGCAGTTTATTATATGTAGTATGCCTTCATCAAAATAAATACTTGAGGATTAAAAAAACTACCGTATTATCTCTGGTATAAAGTGTATTCCAAAAATAACGAAGGAAAAAAATAAGATTGATTAAATTTAACTTTCTTTCAACAAATTAACCACGCAAATTGTTTAAAAAATATCCACATCTGCCCAGAAATTCCTTCTAGTTTATGTGCTTGCCTTCAAATTAAAAAAAATAATATCACCACTAATATTTCTCACTCCCTGATGTGCCTTTTTTAATTTTTTTGACAGTATCATCTTTCGACAAGAAAACTAGTGTCAGGAGGCAGAAAATCAAGGTGTATTATAAGGGAGGGGTGGACACGTGACTCGTTTACTAAGTGACATATCAACTGCTAGCACTACATTTTTGCTAACTAAAACTAAGAAAACCATTATAACAAAAATAAAAGTAGGATTAAAAAAAAAAAAATTACAATAATGACGATCAAAAAAATGTTTTTATGTGCAAACATTTTTTTTGCTTTCATATCGTTCCTGCACAATTTTTCAAATTTTATTCGTCTTCCTTCAGTTCACTTAGGACGACTTGATAAAAAAGCCACAACGGCTGTTATAAATTACCCTTAAATTTGTTTAGGTTTTCTCATTAGTACTTGATTGAAACATCTAATTTTTAACTCCACAAAATTCTATAAACATAAGCTCTTCATCATTTTAAGGGTGAGTACATATAAACTTCTGTCCAAGTTTTTGCCAAAAGTATACGTTCAATTGTAATAAACTTCACACCTTTGAAACGAGCGTAAAAACCCTACCCAGACTGCTTTTCCGTTTTTTAAATTTTGTTGTCAAAAAAAACTGCAACGCGTTAAAATTGTGATGAGTATGAGATAATTTGGTTTTCGCTATTTATGGATCAATTTTAAATTTTCAAAAAGGTACATTAGTAGAAATTGTATTAAAAAATCCATTGCGCCTTACAGAAATAAAATATCTTAATACATAAATAATTGAGTAAACAGGGGTAGAATATTTAAAATTTGATTCTACCGCATGAAATTTCCGGTGTGGGACGGTAAATTAATAAAATCAGAACGCGAACATACAATTTCCCACCACAAGACAAAAGTTAATATACCTTTAATTACTACTAACTTGTTTAAAAATATTTAAAAAATTCCAGTCTTTCTCGTTAAAACCAGTTCTTGGTTACGTTTACTGAACTATTAACTATCCAAAATAACAACAAAAATAAACAATAAACAAAGGTCAACCTAGCCGCAACCCGCTCGTCGAATTCATCATACCAAAAATAAAACAAGAAGAATAAACTGAAAATATACCCTTTGAACTCCTGGCGAACTCGATGCACTGTCGACTTCCTGGTTCGTGTTCATCTCAATAATGCTACCCCTCGCATTCTCGATCCAACTGTTCCTCTGCCCGCCGACGACCACCCCCGGTCCGCCGGCGCCATACGGTGACGTCTGGGCGAGTCTGGACGGATCCAGACCGCCACTCTTCACGTTCTCGCAGACGGCCATCTAAACCGACAGCTCAATACATCACTCTCAAAACACAATTCAATTCAGACTTACTTGATCCACTAGCAGATGGGGAACTTTATTGGCGACTTCGCAGTTTGCCGGGTAGTGAACCAGCAAATCTGGCAACAAATGGGGTGCTTCTTGTTTACGAGCATCCACGATTTGATTCGCGTAATCAAGGAGAGGTTGGATACTGACTACACTTGGTATCAACACCAACAGGCTTATGACGAGGGCGTGCAAGTTGAATTTCTGACTGTTGGATAACGACGTGCTGTTTAAAGCGAGACTCTGAATTCTGGAATCGAAAGTAAACGAGGTTTATTGCCCGGGAAGAATTACGTAAAATTGCACATTTCACATTTCATGTTGAAACAATGGTCACTAATTTTGGTTTAAATATGGTTTCCGTAGCGTAATGACATGACAAGCAAATATCTGAGGTTGTTTCCTCTGCGAAAGACAAGGAAATACTATAATTATAATTTTGTATTGAGAATGATGTGCTTAATGATTGCGTATAATTACAGAATTAATATTTTTAGGACAGGAAGAACAACTATTTCTTTTATATCTTGTAGAATGTTATTTAAGTGAGTTGTATATTAAATTTTTTATAAAGTTTTTCGAGTTTCATAGTGTAGGTATAAACATTTTGAAAAATTGTCATAACGTCGCATTTTATTTTAGAAATTGTAAAAACCAAATCAGAATGGCACTTGGTTTAACATTTCAGTGCATTATTTGTGTTCAGAGGTATAACTACAAACGTAAAGTGAACCGGATTTATTGATTGTAAAACGGCTGAACATTATACAGCTGTTTGATAGTTTCGAGAAAATTTCACTTAAAAATGCTTTATGGTAATGGTACTACGATTTCGATAAAAAAGCTTTTTCTTTTGTCCAATATGAGAATGGCCAATTTCATGCTTTCTCGACGTCTCATAGCTTCTAGAATATGAAAAAGTAGGTCTTTTTTGTCAATTTTATTATACACATAATCACTAAATCTACTGAATTATTGTAAAAAATACAGGTGTATTTTAAGAAGATTATCATCTCCACCAAAAAACTGATGATGGTCTCAAAATTTTGAGAAGTAAATTCTTTTAAAATGTGCAAAATAATATGCTTCTGTACTTATGACTTATTCTGAAATCACCAACACGATAAATCAGAATTCATTAATTTTTCTCCTTCGGAAACTAGATGACGTCACTTTAAAATTTTATTAAGTAAATTTTGTTTGAAATTGGAACCGCTTACATAAATTTTAATTTGTTTTAACTTTTTACTTCCCGAGCGTAAACTAAGGAAGTAGGTATTGTAACAGGGTCCATCTGACGAATGGATACTTTCATGTTTTCACGACGTTTCATGACCCCTAGAGTACGAAATTATAGGTCTCTAGAGTTTTTGTTCTTAGACTTTTGAATTTAATTATGTATCGTTGAGTTGGTGCGCCGTTTTCTAAACACCCTGTATGTATGTTAGGAATATCGTATAGACTAACTAACCAAAATGTATCTAATCAGTACCAGCAACAATGGGATGACCTCATCTCTAAATTTTACCATAATAAATGTTATTTCAATTTTATAAAATAACATACTCCTCCGCTTGTGGTTTATGAGTACGTGTTCAGTTTTTACCCTAGACATCCAGATTTTTGGAAAAAAATCAGAATTGTATAACATTTTACAATTATTTAACTTTGAAATGACCTCTTTTTTTCTTAACATAAATAGCCATCTTTTCACAACAAGAAATTTAAAACATGGTTAAAATGGTACATTTTTGCAAGGAAGTATCGATTTTGAAATTATGGGGCGGAGCTCTATTCCAAAATCGATATTTCCTTATACAAATTTTCCATTTTAAACATGTTTTAAGTTTCATGTTATGAAAAAAAGTATACATATATTAAAACAAAGAGGCAAAATGTAAGCCCGCCCACCACCCTATCTCAATTGTAATGATTTTTTTTATTCGCCGTGAACAAAGGGGGCGGAGCTTAACTGCAAAATACTTATTTCTTTACAATAAGTTAAAAACATGTTTTTGAGTATCGTGTTCGAAGAATACTATGTATATTAAGAAAAAAAAAAGCAAAATATAAACCCCGCCCACCCACCCCATCTAATTGTGATGATTTTTTTTTTATCTTAGAAACTTAAAACACGTTTAAAATAGTAATTTTTTGTACGGAAATATGGATTTTACAATTAGGCGCCGCCCCTAGGTCTGCCAACGAATGAAAACTTCAATCAAGGCAAGTATGGGTGGAGCTTAATCTTTGGCTTTAATTTTTTCATAATATACATAGTATTCCTTGAATAGCACGATACTCAAAAACATGTTTTTAATTTTGCGTCGAGAAATAAGGATTATGCAGTTAAGCCCCGCCTTCTTGGCTCACGACGAATAAAAAAAATCATTACAATTGAGATAGGGCGGGTGGGCGGGGCTACCTTTTGCCTTTTTTTTGTTAATATGTGTAGTTATCTTTTCACAACAAGAAACTTAAAGTATCTTTAAAATGGTAAATTTGTATAGGGAAATATAGACTGTGCAGTTACGCTCCGCCCCACGGTCTGACAACGAATGAAAAATTCATCACAATTGAGATCGAGACGGATGGGTGGGGCTTCTCTTTTGATTTTCTTTTTTTAATTAATACATAACACAATTACTTAAGAACATATTTCACATGGGTTCATAATTTGTCGTAGAAAAATAAGGATTTTACAATTAAGCTCCGCCCCTCGGCTTACGACGAATAAAAAAAATCATCAGAATTGGGATAGGGTGGGTGGGCGGGCCTTATATTTTGATTTTTTTATTTTCTTAATATAGCCAACTTTTCACAACAAGAAACTTAAAACATGTTGTGAAAAGAAGTCTACACGTATTATAACAAAAGGGCAAAATGTAAGCCCGCCCACCCACCCTGTCTCAATTGTAATTATTTTTTTTATTCGCCGTGAACCAAGGGGGCGGAGTGTAACTGCAAAATACTTATTTCTTTACAAGAAATTAAAAACATGTTTTTGAGTATCGTGTTGTTCAAAGAATACTATGTATATTAAGAAAAAAAAAAAAGCAAAATATAAACCCCGCCCAGCCACCCCATCTCAATTGAGACGATTTTTTTATTCTTAGAAACTTAAAACACGTTCATAATGGTAAATTTTTGTAAGGAAATATGGATTTTGCAATTACGCTCCGCCCCTAGGTTCGCCAACGAATGAAAACTTTATTATTATTTAGATCAAGGCAGGCATGGGCGGAGCTTAATCTTTGGCTTTTTTCTTCATATACATTGGTATTCCTTGAATAACACGATACTTAAAAAAGTCTCACATTATAGTTTTTTGTAGAGAAATAATAAGGATTTTGCAAATAAATTCCGCTTCTTTGGCTTTTGACGATTGAAAAAAAAATCATCACAATTGAGATAGGGCGGGTGGGCGGGGCTTATATTTTGCTTTTTTTCTTAATATACGTAGTCGTCTTTTCAGAACAAGAAACTTAAAACATGATCAAAATGGTAAATTCTTCTAGACAAATGTGGATTTTGCAATTAAGATCCGCCTCTCGATCTGACAACGAATGAAAAATTCACCACAACTGAGAATCGAGATTGGGGCGGGTATGGGTGGGGCCTAATCTTTGGCTTCATATTTTTCTAAATATACATAGCATTCTTTGAACAACACGATACTCAAAAACATTATTTTAATTTTTCGTAGAGAAATAAGAATTTTGCAGTTAAGCTCCGCCCCATTCGCTCACAACGAATAAAAAAATCATCACAATTGAGATAGGGCGGGTGGGCGGGGCTACGTTTTGCTTTTTTTTCTTAATATGTGTAGACTTATTTCGATAACAAGAAACTTAAAACTTGTCTAAAATGGTAAAGACAAACAGTAAAATTCACTTTAACAAAATTACCTTAGAAGTGCGCTAAACTTCAGAGTGATCATTGTTTTGTGGTTTCTAAGTCAAATTGTAAAACAAATAAATTACATATTAGCAATTTTGATTTTTCTTTTCAAAAAACTAAAATGTGGGTCGAACATTAACAGGTATAGAAGCACATTATTTTGCAGATTTGAAACAGAATTTGCTTGGCAAAATTTTGAGATGACGTCATTAAATGTTTAACGGGAATGACTATACCATCTAGAAGCCATTCTTAACATACATCGAGAACAATATACTTCACCTTAATTGTTGTCAAAGTACATGCTTCAGTAAACAAATTTGATAAGAATAAAAAAATAACCCCCATTTTGAAATATGGTCGTAGCATTTCTAGTTTCGGCTGAAGTGAAAACAACTTCTCTTTTTAAATGAAACTACCACTTCTTTTTATTTCTTGTAAAGTATTTTCTAAATAAAATAACACAAAACAGAGATCTGATGTCAAATGTGCTACCAACCATTATAGAATATCCCTAAATAAATTTTATCTGCAGATTTTTAATTAGCAAACAATTTTCTTAAATAATAAATACATAAATAAATAGGCATGACATTTCATACAAAATATTAGGTATTTTTAGTTTTGGAAAAAAATCTGCTTGAGAATATTCTTCAAGCAATTTTCATTCATTAATAAGAGGAACATTAACATGGAAATAAAATTTCGAATACCCGGTATGGATTTGAAAATTCTACGTGTTCATCAAATTTTCAAGAATTAATTACTTATGTTTAAAAGAATCAACTATAAACGGAAAATGATAGTATACATTAGATTTAGGTCATATTGGGATAAATAGAGGAATGTTAACCTGATGCTCAAAGGAAACTACATATTTGTCGATTTTTTGTATGATAATCATTTTCACAAACCGTTGCCGCGGATCAAACAGAAATCTGAAACTTTTACTTTGATGTTTAAAACCTTGTTAGCACATTTATGCGCGTATCTGACACTGGAAATAAATTTTAATAAACATTCGAAAAAATAAAAAAGCAATCAAACAAAAACCGATACCGATAGCTCTTCTTTGATTGCGTTGATACTTTTCCACTTTTTAACTTGAAAGAAAAACTCTCGTTCTGTCACGAAAACAAGTTTACAAGTCGCGACTCTACAAAAACCGCTCACTTCCTGGAAAGCAATAGGAATGACACTTCACGTCTGGCGACTAGAAACTTACCCTAAAACCAACTGCAACAAGTCAATAACTGTCTCAGTACTGGCTAGCTCGACGCACAACAACGCCAGCGTCGTGTAGACTACCTCCACGTTGTCTGGTGTATTTGTGTCCATTTGCAGGCTAGTGTAGAGAGCGTCGTAAATTATGGGTCCGTGCTTGTTGATGAAAATGAGGTCGGGTCTAGAGGATTTTTCCAATACTAAATCCAATTCGGTCACGTTTACCCTGCGAAAGAAATAATGGTTTCATGAAGATTTAGTATTCTAGTAGGAAAAGCCACAAAGGTCAAAGTGACAATTGAGTAAATAAAATTTAATCTTACAGTGAAGGATGGTAAATGTTAACGTTATAAAGTTTTATAGGGATCGTTAGTTGGTGTTAAACAAATGTTTCACTTATGTGAGTTCTATTATACCTATACCTACTACTCTCATAAGTTGCCTACATTGTCTTTGTCTAAAAAATGATGATAAAGATTCGATTTAGTTTAACGACAGAAATATTAATATTATTATGTGAACAAAACAATTAGTTATAAAATCAATTTTGGACGTAAAATAGCATGCCTTTGCTAAATTCAGGTCGCTCGATTTTGATCTAAGTCGTGACACATTCTAACGGAACTCAATTATATAGCTACGGAACTTAAAATCACTGCAATTTCATTTATAACTTAACACCAAACTTCCATTTTGAACATACGAGTCTCCTTAAAAGAAAAAAAAGTACAATTTACTAAGTTTTGTAATTAAAGCTTGGTTCCGAAGCTATCGTAAGACAGAAAAACATAGAGAATTAGAGTTGGCTTTGAGCACAGTCCACGGAAAATAATATGGTGTATCTTAAGGAATTATACATTACATTTGCATTAAAATAAGTAAAGATATAGCAACTACTTTAAATAAATTGAGTTTAAAAGTACGTAATTCTCTCCGTTGCGAAAATAAAATCTGCATACTGAAATTGTTGTCAGAAACGTTTACTGCGAAGCGTTCACTTCCGCGAATTGTGTCTACAAAACAACGGATAAATCTTGAATACTCATGAATAAATACTGTACAGAGAGTTACAGCGTCAAGAGAGTGATATTGATATTACATCAAACGATTCTATTTACGCTACAACAACTTAATTATTACGTTGCGATGTAATTAATGGTCTTTCCGAGAGGTCGAGAGTAGCAGAAATGGCAGGCTTCCAAAATCAATTTCAACTGATGTTTTACCATAGACTGTGTGGCGCTACGTTGATCTAAAATAAAGACATAGTCCAAAACCCGGCAACAAAAAAAAGTGTCACAATTAGAGTTCGAATATGACGATTATTAAGTGATTGAAGACTGATATTTTGCATATTTCGGTTTTTTGCATTATGTAACTATCATTGCATATTTCATATTATTTTCCTTGTTTTTACATATCTTGCACGTTTTTTAATTTTTAACAATATTTATTTTATCCCTCTTTAAATAAATTTAGATTACTTTTTTCGCATATAAATAGCGTGTTTTCTCGTCGTTTCATGACCCCCAGAGTATGAAAAAATAGGGCCCCGTTTCCGTCTGTCTGTCTATCGTTTTTAGCTGGCATGTGTGTTGAAATTTGGTATATAATCTCCGAAACAACTCGCCCGATTCTTTTGATAAAACACTAACAAAAATTTCTCTAACCATCCTAACTAATAATTTGATGACGTCATTTCAAACTTTTGCATAGTAATTTTCAGTGGTTGGAAGTAATGCATTATTGTAATTCAATTCCTTTTCAAGTAATGAGTAAATTGTAATGAATTCCTTAAAAAAAAAGTAATTTGTAATTGTTGTTGTTGTAATTGTTCCAATCACTGTCAATTTTATAGAGTAACATATCCCTGTACTTGTGGTTTATAAACCCACCTTGATTTTGTTTATTATTATAATTTTTATCATTTAATTCGTCTGATAGAAGCGCTGACTTTGCATATGAAAGACGTCGGTTTCGATTTCAAGCTTTTTTTGCTGATCAAATCCAGGAGGGTTCACTTCATTTTTCTTATTTAAATTTTATTATGGTAAAACTCACTTGAAACAACGCACAGCATATTTTTAGCTGTACTTTCACAGTCCACATATATCTTTATTTCAACTTGTAAAGAGCCTGACAAGTATCTGAATGCAGTTTTTATATCGTAGACAAATTATTAATCTACTTATAATAACTACTCCCCTATTAAATTTAATGAATATGTCGAACAAAAATCGTTAAGACAAAATCTTCTTCTATTTTCTGTGCTTTTAATATTGGTCAATATATTTTTTTTCCATAGGTAGATTTGTAATTGTAGATATTTAGTTTATTATTTTAATTTCGATTATGATCGAAGGGTAAAAACAGTATAGTAGAATTTTACGTTAGTTTCGATAATCAAGCAACTAACTTTAGAATATGTTGTATATTTTATATGTTGGTACAAATGTAACAAACGTCTGATACAGTTGATCAATATTCAGCAAGCGTCAGAATCAGATAAATATAAAATGAAGTCTGTGCGACTAGCTTTTATTGTGGATAATCGTAGAGCGCTTCGCTGCTTTACTTTCAATTGGATGTTAATATAAAGAACTTAGGTTTTATGAATCTTTTTTTTTTAATTGAGCCTAATTTATATTAGAATTGACTTAAACTTCAACAACAAATAAAATCTGAAATTTTTGTAAAAAAGGAGTAAAACAATCGATTACATTAAAAATAGCTGCTTTGTAATAGTTGTTAGAGCAATTTAAATAGGGCTAAATGTGTGCATGACGTCACAAGTAGATCGTAGAGCTTGATAAATAAAATTACAATGCTTATCGGTTACGAGATATTCGATCAAAAGCTGTTTTTCTGCTCTGATCGAATATGTAAAAAAGTTAGTAAAAATAGGGAACGACACAAACTCGCAATCGAGACACGTTAAATAAAAGTGCTAATGATGTTTTGCATGAATATAGCTGAAGTATTTTATCTCATAATGTGATAGTGGTTTGAAAAAATTTTCAGAATTTCTTTATTTATTGTGCTCTGTCACGTGAACTATCGTTTTTAATTTCTGAGTTAAAGTACTTCCTAAAAACAGGTTCATTTTACACTTTTCGGCTTGAAATGTAAGACGTGGAAAAAGTCGTTATGTGAATCAGTTATTCATGTAATTACTAAAACGTACCCTGAACCGAACACGAATAGCGTGTTCTTTTCTTATTAGAAATAAAACTATCCTTTTTTTGGTGAGGCTGTAGAACTTGACGGGCGAATGCAGAAGTTCGAAGACAATGTAGACGAGCTACAAAAAGTTCCTGTTCCTCAGAATAAAATACAATTTTTTTCGTATCCAAGAAGGAATGAAAAGAAAAAAATTGCAGTATTTTTATTTTAATACATCTTTTTATGAAATGACGCATTTCACTGGTAAATACTTTGCTGTATGGTGTTATACCGAGAAAGTAATAAAAAACTGATCAGGGGCAGCAATGGATCTTTGAACATTTATCTTTGATGGAATTTTCTTGTCAGGTTACCGTCGATTTGAAAGTGCAACCATCAGAAATCCATGGCTGTGTTTGATCGTGTTTTGTGTTGCTCTCTCGGTATACAAATGTCCTACAAGTGCAGCTGTATGTTTTTTTTTTAAGATTTAAATAGAATCAGCACTAGTGTAAACACTGTAAACCTTCTATTGTAAATATTTGTCCTGATTTGAATGTTTAAGGCGTGAAATTGCATCTATCAAAAATTCATGGTTGTCTTTGATGGTGTTTTTTACACAATACACACTATCCAAAACACTGTGACAAACATTTTAAAAAATTTGTGCTTTAATTACTTTGTCTCTTTTTTAGGGGAGAGATGCGATCGTTCGCAAAACAACCCCATGTTCTTTTTAGGGGAGAACACGATATCCGTAAAAAACCCCATGTGATGGTCAGGTCAGACTCGCTGCCGCTGGGGCAACGGGCCAGAATTGGCAACGTGTTCTCGCTTCCCTTTACCCTTTAAATCATAAGAGACATAATTCCCACGTGAAATGTAGTACGTCCAGCCATCTACTGGGCAACAGTAAAAACAAATAATGGTAACAGAGTTCTTTTTTTTTAACATAAAAACCCGATAGATGAAAAAATTAAATAAAACTCATTTTATAAGTATATAACGCTTTGGTTAAATGCAACGTTACTATTGAATAACTTTGTAATTAAAATTTCCTTTAAGATTATCGTGCATGTTCAATATAATTCACTCATCCATCCCCTACAAGAAATATATGATTCATATCAAAATTTCGTTGAAAAATTCCTATTTGAAATGTAGAACGTCGCAACTTACAAATTAAACCACATTGTTAAATTAACACGTACGGATTATGCTAAGAAACTTACTTTGAAATATCAATTTTTTCAGACATTACATAACGAGCGTTTTAGAAATTTTAATAACATACTAGATTATGGCTCAATAACTCTGGAAAACTGATGGGGGTCATCATAAAAAAAATGATCGAAGATTATTTCGACAGAGCTTAAAACCTCCGTCACACTGTGCTAATGATGTTTTGCATTATTCGGATGACGGTTTCCTTTCTTTAAAACATTTGGTTTATTACAAATTATCATAAATAGTCAGGTCAGGTCAGGTCAGGTCAGGTCAGAATTTAAGGATTTTTTAGGAATTTGAGGATTTGAGGAAGTGAGAATTTTAGTAATTGAGGATTTTGAGGATTTTTTAAATTTGGTGATTTAGGATTTTGTGGAATTGATGTCTTGAGAATTTTGAGGATTTGAAGATTTGGTGATTTGACGATTTGTGGATTTTGAGGATTTTCATGATATTTGGTATTTTGAGGATTCAGAAAATTTGAAAATTTTTTGAATTTAGTTACTATAACTTTTGAAGATTTGAGAATTTTGGGCATTTTTGGTGATTTGAAGATTTTGAGGATTTAGTGATTTGAGAATTTGAGGATTTTAAACTCTTGGGGTTTTGTTGAGTTTCGTGCTTTGAAGATTTTAACGATTTGATGTCTTCAGGATTTTGATGATTTAAGTATATGGTATTTGAGGATTCTGAGAATTTGAGGATCTTGACGATTTTTTAAATTTGGTGATTTGAAGCTTTTGAACATTATAGGTACTTGAGGACTTTCTTGAATTTGGTAATTATTATGGTTTTAACGATTTGATGAATTTGAGGGTTTAATATCTTGAGTATTTT